CAAACCCACCCACACAGACCAGTATTTGCAGTTTGACTCCCATCACCCTTTGGAGCACAAGTTAGGAGTCATCAGGACTCTGTATCACAGAGCAGACAGCGTCCCCACTAGCTCAGGAGCCAGGCAGAAGGAGAAATCCCACACAAGACAGGCTCTAGAGCAATGTGGATATCCTAACTGGGCCTTCCTGAAAGCAGAGAAGAAACCCAAACAGGACTCCAGTCAGCCAACAGGTGAAAAGGAGGAACCCAGACCCAGACCAGTGGTCATTCCATATGTTGAGGGAGTATCAGAGAAACTGAGACGTTTATTTTCTAAACATAACGTCCCAGTGGCTTTTAAACCCCAAAATACATTACGGCAAAGACTGGTTCATCCCAAAGATCCAGTCCCCCGGCACAAACAGAGCAATGTTGTGTATGCTGTTCAGTGTCAGGAGGGCTGTGATCAGTCTTACATTGGGGAAACAAAACAGCCACTGGCCAAAAGGATGGCCCAGCACAGAAGATCAACATCATCAGGCCAGGACTCTGCGGTCTACACTCATCTCCAGGCCAGCGGTCACTCTTTCAGGGATGAAGATGTTCACATCCTGGACAGAGAGGAACGATGGTTTGAGAGAGGAGTAAAGGAGGCCATCTTTGTGAAAAGAAATCGTCCATCGTTAAACAGGGGTGGAGGCCTCCGGGTTCAACTGTCCCCCTCTTACAATGCTGTGATTGCTAGTATCACTCAGCCCTCTGTGAGTAGTAAACAGCCATCAGTGTGCTAATGATCCATTGTTATGCTGATGGTCCTTCTTGAGCATGTGATCAGCTGGTTTTGGTTGCCAGCAGCAAAACTGGTTGATCCACCCTGAGACGGTGCTATTTAAGAGACTGAGCTGAATACAGCTCCTCAGACTGAGGAAGTCTCTTGGATGAGAGACGAAACATTTCTACATTTTTTTGTTGATTTGCTTTGTTTTATTTTTTTGAATGTCCAGAGGACCAGATTTAACTTTTTTAGATTTTTCTACCTGGATTATTGAGCATGCATCAGGTTATATTGACAGAATTTCTCAGTGCTGCTGGGGGGGGCGGAGGGAGTCCGGTTTGGTGGATTCAGGATTCCATCTCTGCCATTTGCAGATGAAATGGTCCTGTTGGCATTATTGTGCCGTGATCTCCAGCTCTCACCGGAACAGTTCGCAGCTGAGTGTGACGCGGCTGAGATGAGAATCAGCTCCTACAAATGTGAGGCTATTGTCCTCAGTTAGAAAAGGGTGGAATACTCTCTTCGGGTCAAGGGTGAGGCTCTGCCTCAAGTGGAAGAGTCTAAGTATCTTGGGGTTTTGTTCACGTGTGAGGGAAGAATGGAGCGTGAGATTGACAGACGGATTGGTGCCGCATCTGCAGTATTGCAGACTCTGTGCCGCTCCATTGTGGTAAAGAGGGAGCTGAGCTGTAAGTCAAAGTTCTCCGTTTACCGGTCGGTCTACATTCCTACCCTCACCTACGCCCACGAACTCTGGGATAGTGACAGAAAGAATGAGGCTGAGGATACAGGTGGCTGAAATGAGTTTCTTCCGCAGGGTAGCTGGACTCTCCCTTTGAGATAGGGTGAGAAGTTCAGTCATATGGGAGTGAATCTGAGTAGAACCGCTGCTCCTCCACATTGAGAGGAGCCAGTTGAGGTGGTTAAGGTATCTGGTAACGATGCTTCCTGGGCACCTCCCTAGCTTCAGGCATGTCTGACTGGGAGGAAAGCTTGGGGAAGATCCAGAACACGCTGGACAGACTACGTCTCTCGGTAGGCCTGGGAATGCCTTGGGGTCCCCCCAGAAGAGCTGGAAAAGGTGGTTGTGAAAAAAGATGTCTGGGCCTCCCTGCTGAAGCTGCTGCCCCCAAGACCTGATTTCGGAATAAGTGGATGTGTGTGTGTGTGTGTGTATGTGTATGTGCATGGTGGCAGCCATCTTGGATTTAGATGTGGCAACCCAACTTTCGATGATGACCTTTGTTACCCACTATATGTAGCCACACACCTACATGGAAGTTGGTACCTCACTTCTTTTTCAAAGTTATCATGCTCACAACATGCACAGACAGACAAATGGACAGAAGGAGAGTATTTCCAATTCCCCTCATAGCTTTGCAATGGGGGACAGCAAAGGCATAAAACAATTGCCATTTTTTTTATGTCAGTTTCCTTGCTGCAACTTTCCCAGCCTCATACCCAGCACATATTATATTGAACAAAAACACATCATGAATGCTACACATCAATCGTTTACATCACAGAACTTAACCTGCAATAACTTCTGCGTGTTTGGACTACCACAAAGTTGCTTGGGGCAGCTGTGGTTGAGTGGTTAGAGCAGTCGTCCTCCAATGCAAGAGTCGGGGTTTGAATCCACCAGCAGTCACATGCCGAAGTGTCCCTGGGTAAGACACTGAACCCCTCATAGCCTCTGATGTGTGTCCCATTGGTGTATGAATGTGAGCTAAAACACTGATTAGTCTCATTAGAATGATTTGTTCAATTAGCTTTGTAGAGAACTAGTAGAGTGCTGTATGGAAGGGTAAATGAGGACACAGATTGTAGTGTAAATCACTTTGAGTATCTTGAAATAAGATAAAAAGGTGCTATATAAGTACAGTCCATTACAGTCCATTTGTTTCTGAAAACCCTGACACATAGCAAAATAAGAAACAGTGTGAACTATGTAATGATGTTTCTTATACCTGAGCCTGGCAGAATATTAATGACTCCTTTTGGGATGCCAGCTTTCACAGAAAGCTCAGCGAACTTCAGCGCTGTCAAAGGTGTCACCTGTGAATGAATTATCACAATAATAATCAATAATAATCAATAATAATCCGAACAGAGGACATGAGTTAGTTAAACATGTATTAACTGTATGAACAACACTTTGTGTTCCAGCCTACCTTTCTGTAGCTAAGAGTTCATATTGTGTTTATTATTGCCTTTCGCTGAGGGTGATAATGTCTATGCATGTCTGGTGTGTAAGCAAAATATTTAATTAGCCACAAGGTAAATTGAACTAAAACTTTTGCAATCATTGAATGCTACAACAGCTCAGCAACCTTAGTCAACACAAAAAAGGCTTTAACATGTTATATTTCTTACACAAGATTTAAAACTATGCCTTAACTACTGAAGTCACTGTTGTCAGTCTGTTAGCACAATGTGGCTACAACTCAGTTCTCATTATAAAATTAAGTTAGTATAAAACTAACCTGAAATATGGCCAGTGATATGCATTCCTTCAAGGAATGCTAGGTTTTAATGTACAAGGTACTTTTTTTCCAAAGGGATTGTGTATATTTTGGAGTATAAAAAGCCTACCTGTGCAGGTTTTAGAACTAATGTGTTTCCAGTTGCAAGACAAGCCGCACTCTTCCAAGCTAGCATCATGAGAGGGTAATTCCAAGGGATTACTATAGCACAAACTCTGCCACAAAGAAAAAGAAAAACAAAAAACTGTAATGCACTCTGTAAAATACAGATACAGAATGGAAATGCAGGAAGTCTTTAAACTAGAGAATTTCAGAAAAAATGTTGAAGGGTCCTAAGGCAGCTGCTGCCCCAAACTCCAACATAACTCAGTAAACAATATAAACAACATTCCAATGCATCCACCTTATTCCTGGGGACTCTACTGTGTAAAAGATTATGATTCAACTTCCTGTCAGACACAGGAAGTAGCAGTAAGCATTGGTTAATCATGGTAGTGGAGCACAAACTGTGGTTTATTTCAAAGTAATTTGAATTCAGTTTAGCAGATAAAACTCTGTTTTTGTTTACATTTATGTAACAACCATACAGTTTATTGAAATGGCCGTGCTGAGTTCAGGTACCTGTTGTAATGAACTATATCTGTCTCTGATATTATTCATAATTTAAACGGATTCTTTCATTTTTCTGGACTGAGTACTATCGTGCCTTGAATGATTAAATGTGGACGGAAACGTGTTTTATCTTTGACTCACCAACAACAGTGGGTCATTTATTTAAAAACGATTTAAACATATCACACATTTACAATAATTGGCAGATTGATTTCAATAAGACAGCTTAATTAATGAGCTTTACAATGAGAACCATATGGCCATGGTATCTCACTTGCAACTAATTACAACAGACATTTATGAAAATATCTGGATGATTTACTGGCAAGATAGAAGAGTTTTAAAGATGGGAAAATGAAGGAGTTTAAATGGAGAGAAAAAGGATGAGGGAAAAGTGGGTTGATAACGAACGGCACCCTCCATCCGAACCCAGCTCCACCTCGGTACACTTCGGTAGTGAGGGACTCGTTACCTTGTAGAAGATGTCTCCACTGGTACGGAGTTCCATTTAACGCTACCTTTCTAGCGTCTCCGTAGGAACAGCTGCGAATCGTCCGAAGTAGTGACGGTACTTCGTTCAACACCACGCTCACCTCTCAGGTGGACTCACATGAGCTGTGAGCCCGTCAGAGGTTCCACTCAGATGTGGAAGATTCCATAATCCCCACGAGACTCGGAACTTTGTTCTTCCTTTTGGAACTTTGTTCTGCGTAGTTCCCGTTGTTCTGCTGGAACTAGGAAGTGTTGACCCTTTTAAAGAGGTCACTTCCGGTTCCTCTGAGAACTTCCTGATTGGTTGAAAGAACCAACAGGGGTGTGGTCTTAGTGACGTAAGAGGGTCATTAAAAGTCAAGGAGAAAGAGTAGATTGTTTTAAGAACAGACAGAAAGATGTTTTGAAGAACAGAGACTTTTAGGAGCCGTTTTCCTTCTATCTGTCTGCAAAAGTTAAACATGACATTTCGTTCCGATAAACATGTTTTTGACCAAAACTTGACTTCTGACCCACATCACGACTTGCTCATTTCAGACAGAAGATCAAAAAATGCATAATTACTCTTGTAACAAACATTAACTTGATTTCTACTTTGAATGAGGATTAAAAATCATTTATACTGTTTCACAGTTGATTTAAAATGAGTAGTTCACTTCAACATTTAAAATGGTTTGAACTAAACACACTTTTGATTATCAAGACATTGTAAAATAGTAATGATAATAAAAAAGAGAGTGTTCTTTCAATTGATCAGTGCAGGACACACTTAGAAAGTCTCTGGATGAACTTAATTTGTGTTTCTGGACTCAAATCAATGAAATAACAGTTCTTGTCCCAGGAAGGCCCTCAGGGCCAGATTTTGACCTGAGGCTTAGTTCACTACACTGTTGTGTTCATGGCTGCAGAACAACCAGACAAAAGTGAATCAGTGGCTACAACAATAGGTTGAACATGGACCAAAACAAAAATAGTTCCTGTGAAAAGAGGTATAGTTTCTATCTCCTCCCTACAGATGAGGAATTAAGAAGAAAGTGTCTGAAAATGTGAACTTGAAGCGACCACCCAAAACTCTGTATGTGAGCTCATTTCACTTTTTTGACAAACGGCCAACTGAGGAAAACCTGCTACTACTTTGTGTCTGGACTACAATAAACCACCAGAGAAGAGACACTGGATCGTCAGAAGGATTGAAAACAGTGATGAGAACATCAGGTTTGATTCAAGTGTATGGAGGTCACAACTTTATAGTATTTGTTCATCTTCAGTTTTATGATTTCCTCTATGATTAACCCAAGTTCAGTGATAGAGGACTTTAAGACTTTGGCTGGCTATGTGTCTGCTTTAAGGCCAATAAAGTAAGTACGTAGCTAAATAAAGCTTTAAGTAGCTACATATGCTAGTAGAAGTAATCTGCAGCCACTTCTTCAGCTCGTCCTCAGCAGGCAGAGATTTCATTCAACCTTTATTTAAACAGATAAATCACAATGAGCCTCAAAGACTCATTTACAAGTGAGACCTGTTTGGACAGACAAAAACAGTGGTTAACTGGACACATGTAGGAGTTGGAGGCGAAAAAAATTCCTATCAGACTTTTTTCTTGGATGAGAAAAACCCCTAATTTTGAAAAAACACCTCGCACAAACAAGCACATATTTACGTAGACATTCTGCAATATAGAAGAGCAGGAAGAAGGAAGAGACGAGAGCGGTCAACAACGCTTACAGATGCTCTCGAGGTCACTGTAATCAGTCAATGTCCTCCGGTGAGATCCATAAACATTCTCGAGGTATGTCGAAGAATTGCCTAGAATAACCCCTGAGAATCCAGAGTCCTGAAATGATGACACAAAGTTTTGTCAGCGGGGTTTCATCTGGTTATTAGTTGGAAATTCCTCAGGGAGGGGGGTGGTGAGCGTCAGATCACATTTTCCAGGCGAAATTCAGATAAGGTGGCCTTCAAGGACACCAAGGCGACGAAAATTTAGATAAACACACAGTTGTTTTGGGGACAGGCAGAACTTAATGACATCTGCCTTGAGTCTGTGTTTGGTCCACTCGGTTCTGAAATGTCCAAAATAATATGACCACACCGATGGAACATGTCTGAGTAAAAATCCCCAAGATCTGATCCATTCAGCCCAAAGCATTTGAGTCTGGGTACTCGAGACATGAAACCAAACCATCATAAAGGCAAGCAGCATGATCGGGTCCAAATTTGCTGCTGACGACTTCCTTGATTGTAGATAAAAACTAGGACCAGCTGAATCCAAAAAGCAGGAACCAGTTATCGTGAATCCAATTCAATATGCGTCCTTAAAATCCACAGATGGCAGCAGAGATAGACACATCATCAAGTCTTCCAGTCGATGAGATATCCAGCTGTGTACGTGCCAACAGGGTAAATCGGCTCGCCTAAAGCCTGTCTTCTCTCGAAGAAATGCTGTAAATTGAGTTGAGGGACCAACTGGTCAGAACAAGTCCATAATTATGGTTCGGAAGATATGCAAGAGAGTCTCAGAGTCTCAGAAGCAGTTTCACAGACAGACAGAGAACAGCAAAGCGGAGAGGGAGGGAGGGAAGCATCCGATCTTGGCTTGAGCAAGTGGTGAAGTGAAGATGATGATATTGTCCTGTTTGAGCTCTGACAGGTGGTGTTCCTACATATTAAATCCACAATGCTTGGAGAAACTACATGAGCTCGTACTGTTCACACATAAACACAGGTTCTGGTTCATGCCAGAAGTTGCACCCATAACTGGTGCAAGGCATCATGAGGGCTAGGAATAAGGTGGATAATTTGTATTAGTAACAATGAAGTTATCGGAATAATTAGTTTGTAAGCAAAATAAATTTCAAACAATTCAAAAGTTATTGTGTGACATCACCAAATGTCAGTTGAATGTTCAGAAAAATCTGTAAAACTCATCAAACCTAAACTTTTTTTGTACAAAAATGCTAAAAATATCAAAATGTTAGGTCAATTGTGTAAAATTCAATTATCTGTGACCTACGTCTGATTAGAAGGATGTTTCAGCTGTAAAGTTTGAGCTGTATGGTCACACAGAGGGCTGGCTTTTCTCATGTGTTTCGTCAAAATCCCATTGAGCTCTAAATTTTTCCCTTAAAGTTTATTATCAAAGTTTTACTACGGTGTGTGACATACCACTACCAAAAGTCATAGTACACTGTTCCTGATTTAGCAGCATGTTTTGGTGTAAAATTTGTAAGTTCAACGCAGCATGACAAAACACAGGATAATAATTTAGAACAGGATGGTAAAAAGGGGGCTTGATGGTGTGGACAGGAAGTGAACTTTAGAAAGGGTGGTTATAAATGAAGGAGTTAGAAAAGAATCTAGTAGAAGTGAAGAAAGTGCAGAGTGATGTGTCTGAATGTGGAAGGTAAAGGTCTGTTGTCAGTGGTTATATTCCAGGTCGTCTGTGAGGTAAAGGAGAAATAAATTATGGAAAGATCTAGATGAATGTGATGGATTTTGCCAAGAGGATGGAAATGGCTGTAGTCAACAACTATTTCCAAAAGAGGGAGGAACACAGAGTGACCTATAGGAGGGGAGGAAGGAGTACGCTGGTCGACTACATTCTGTGTAGAAGAGGAAACCTGAGGGAGACTGAGGACTGTAAGGTTGTGGCAGGGGAAAGCGTGGTCAGACAGCAATGAATGGTTATGTGTCAAATGACTGTTGTGAAGAAGAGAGAAAAAAAAAAATGAAGGAGGTTTAATGTTAGACTGGTAAAGGACATGCATGAGAACAGCAGAAAAGTGGTGAGATGTGATGTAGGAGTGACAGATAGAGCCCCTTCTTGTTTGCTCTGCCGATGGACCGACTAACAGATGAGGTCAAGCAGGAATCCCCATGGACTATGATGTTTTCAGATGACATTGTGATCTGTGGTGAGAACAGGGAACAGGTGGAAGAGAACTTGGAGAGGTGGAGGTATGCACTTGAAAGAAGAGAAATGAAAGTCAACTGTAGTAACAGAGTACATGTGTGTGGATGAGAGGGAGGCTGGTGGAACAGTGAGGCTACAAGGAGCAGAGGTCACAAAGGTGCAGGACTTCAAGTACTTGGGGTCCACTGTCCAGGAAATTGGGGAATGTGGTAAAGAGGTGAAGAAGAGAGTCCAGGCAGGATGGAGTGGATGGAGAAAAGTTTCAGGAGTGATTTGTGACAAAAAGGTGTCAGCGAAGGTCAAAGGAAATGTTTACAAGACAGTGGTGAGACCAGCTATGTTGTATGGTCTGGAGACAGAGACATGGACAAAAAGACAGGAGACAGAACTGGAAGTGGCAGAAATGAAGATGTTGAGGTTCTCCTTAGGAGTGACAAGGATGGAGAAGATTAGGAATGAGATCATCAGAGGTACAGCACAGGTTGAACAAATGGGATAAAGTTAGAGAGACCAGACTGAGATGGTTTGGACATGTCCTGAGGAGGGACAGTGGTTTGGACATGTTCAGGTGAGGGACAGTGGTTTGGACATGTCCAGGTGAGGGACAGTGGTTTGGACATGTCCAGAGGAGGGACAGTGGTTTGGACATGTCCAGAGGAGGGACTGTGGGTATATTGGTAGAAGGATGTTAGAAATGCAGCTGTCAAGAAAAATACAAGAGGAGATATATGGATGCAGTTAGAGAGGACATGGGGGTAGGTAGAGTGAGGACAGAGGATGCAGAGGACAGAGTGAGATGGAGGAGGATGACTCGCTGTGGAGACCCCTGAAGAAGAAACAGCTGAAAGATTAAGTAATAAAGGGGCTTCAGGCTTTCACATCATTAATGAAAAAACAGGCATTAAGTGAGAAGAATATAGATCTACCCCAGAGGTTCTCTCTTGGTGAAGGTCAGGTTCCGGTTGGGCCTGGCTTGGTTGATGGGGATCGTTTTGCCCTGCCAGAAGACAGTTTTTTTTTTTTTTTAGTGTGAGAAACTTTAAATATTTTGTTTGTATGTCAGTAAAACAGGAAGCATAATCAAACCTGGATTTTGTCGCACCAGCCTGCAAAGTATCGAAAGGTCTGGATGGACATGCCCACATGTGTCTTGAGAGCCAGGGTGTACACAGCGCCTGAATCAATGGACTCGATAGTGGCCAGCTCCTCCTGATGCTCCTCCATCAGGTCTGCAAGTCTGAAGGTCAGAGTAGTCAAGTCAAATCAACTTTATTTATAGAGCATATTTAAAACAGAAACTGTTATCAAAGTGCTGAACAATAACATCAATGGGAGTAAAATTAATGAAAAAATAACACACCAATGATAATAATGAAGAATTAATTAAAAGCATTAAAAACTCCAGACAGTTTAAATTGATTGATTTTGGACTCATGCAGGCCAGGAGATTAATATCTTTGTACAGGAAGAAAATGGATGTACCCTCAAATCATATGTGGGTGAAGTAGATGGCATCTTGTATTGTACTGGAACAACTTACATTATTTACCTACAACTTACTTATGTTGTCAGAGGTAAAGGATTAGACTTTGAAGAAATATGGTCACCATTAACTGAATTTCTGAGACATTATAGGGGAAACTAATTCAGAAAAGATGCTTGGAGCTGAGTTTTATCTTATCTTATTTTATTATATAGATATATGCTGTTATTATTATTTTTTATTTACTTTCTTATTTTTTCATTTAGTTACATATACTTGTTTTAATATTTGTTTACTTTGGAGATTATGTTGTTTAATGGAAAATAATGATAATTGTACTATTATCACTTGCTTGTTCTGCAAAATAAATAAAAAAATCAATAAAGATGTTGTTTTTAAAAAAAAACATTAAAAACAGGAACACTGAGAAAAAAATACTAAATCAACTCACACTGTGTGAAACACCAGAGACTATAGATGTGTTTTAGCTGATTTAAAAACAGGAAGGGAGGTGGCCTGCGTAATAGCACTGCAAGTAATGTTCTTTGACTTTTCCAGTGCTATTAACACCATCAGACCTGTTCGACTCTGCAGTAAGCTCCTGGACATGCAGGTGAAGGACTCACAGATCACCTGGATCAGAGAGTACCTCACAGGTCGGCCGCAGTATGTGAGGCTGCAAAACATCACCTCGGACACCATACTAAGCAGCACAGGGGCTCCTCAGGGCACAGCCCTCTCACTGTTTCTGTTCACACTCTACACCTCGGACTTCAGGTACAACTCACAATCCTGCATCTGCAGAAGTTCTGGATGACTCTGTCATTGTGGGCTGCATCACTGGTGACCAGGAAGCTGAATACAGAGGTGTGGTGGACAGAACCACCTGCAACTCAATGTTGGAAAAACTAAAGAGCTACAGATGGACTACAGGAAGAAGACCAGTCCCCTCAACCCTGTCAACATCAAGGGTACTAAGGTGGACACTGTGGACTGCCACAAGTACCTGGGGGTCCACCTAGACAATAAATTGGACTGGACAGCTAACACCAACGCTCTCTACAGGAAAGGGCAGAGTCGCCTTTTTCTTCTGAGGAGACTCGGGTCCTTTAACATCTGCAGGACCATGCTGCAGATGTTTTACCACTCGGTGGTCTCCAGCATCATCTTCTACGCTGTGGTGTGCTGGGGCAGCAGGGTGAAGAAAGCTGATGCCAACAGACTCGATAAACTCATCAATAGAGCTGGCTCAGTTCTGGGAGTGGACCTGCAGTCTCTGACAGAGGTGTTTGAGCAGAGGATGCTGAGGAAACTGCTCCAGGTCCTGAACAACACATCACACTCCTTGCATGACACCATGGACTCACTGCAGCACCTTCAGTCGTAGACTGAGACCACCAAGGTGCTCCACAGAACAACACAGGAAGTCCTTCCTCTCTGTGGCTACCAAACTTTTAACTCCTCTCCCTTTCTGCACAGAGGACAATAAAATTAATCCTGTATTACAACAAACTCTTTAATGTTTATACCTGCACCTGTTTAGAACTTAATTGTTGGCATTTTTATATTCTCTGTTATTTTTTTAATATTCTCCGTTATTTTTATATCTTGTGATTCTTGTGTATGTTCCTTTGTACTGAAACTTGGGCACAATAATTTCCTGTGGGAGCAATAAAGTTTTATCTTATCTTAATGTGGGGGGCAGGTTGTTCCAGAGTTTTGGGCCCATAAATGAAAATGCCCAATCACCTCTGAGCTTCAGTCTTGTTTTTGGAACAGCCAAAAGCAGCTTGACCAGATGGATGATCTCAGGGCCTGAGAGGGAACATATGGTTCCAGTACCTCAGAGATAAAGGGGTGCAAGGCCATTTAGGCACGTATAGGTCAACAGAAGAATTTTAAAGTTCATTCTAGTATGTACAGGAAGCCAGTGAAGGGAGGACAGAACTGGTGTAATATGCTCAGACCAATAAGTTCTGGTTAAGAGCCAAGCAGCAGCATTCTGGACGAGCTGGAAATGTGAGATGGAGGTCTGGCTGACCTTGCATTGCAATAGTTCATTCGAGTCGTGATAAAGGCATGGACTAGTTTCTCAAGGTTGGGTCTGGACAACATTGGCTTGAGCTTAGCTACTTGCCTTAAATAGAAGAAGCTTTTCTGCAGAACAGAGTTGGTTTGTCAAATTTGAAATCCGAGTCTAAAACCATAGAGATTTTTAGCAGACTGCTTAAGATATGGCTGAAGGGAGTCCAGGTTTACAGGATCAGAGGTGACAGTTGAGCTAGGGCTAAAGACAATGCCTTCAGTCTTTTGATCATTCAAACTTAATAAATTTGAAGCCATAAATGCTTTAATGTCATCTAGACATTTTAGGAGAGAGTGAATGGAGCAAGCACTTGCTAGTTTCAAAAGGCAGAAAAATCTGACAATCATCAGCATAACAATGGAATGAAAGACCATGTTTCCTCAGGATGGACCCCAGTGGGAGCAAATAGAGTGAGAACAGAAGGGGTTGTTAAGATATTTTCAATCTAGACTGGTTTTATGAGTTTGATCTGCTCAGAGACGGGATTATAATGAAATTGTGACCCGGTTCTGACTGGGTTAAACTGGACCAGCAAACTCTTAAGAGAGTCTCCCTGATAATTCAATATCTGTCAATAAATAGTTTAATCAGCTTGCCACATCATGTAGGAAAGGCTTTAAAGCACCGTCTCATGTTTTCCTTACACGTCAGTACACATAAGACCACACTTAGTCCCGCTCCTTCATACACTGACAGGTTGAGCTCCCCCTTCTACGAAGGGCGGAGTCTAGGGCCTATACATTAATGATGACACGAGACATCGGGGCTCTTCTTCCGGGTCTGTGAACGCGTCACAGACTGAATAGAGTCCAGCGCTGTAAATTGTAATCTTTTACTGCCTTTTTCTAATATAATTGATAAAACTTAATTGACGTTTCCTTGATTTATTGATTAGTATAGTTGCCACTTCTGAGGAGGGTTCGAGCCGAGGGTAGAGACGAGGGCTGTAGGGGGTTTCCGGATCCGGTGGCCTGCAGCCAGCTCACATCTTTAACAGTTGGTGCCGTGTTCTGCCCTTCCGTTTTAGAAGTGGTGGCTCAATTTTTATTATTATTTAGTGGTGACACAGCGGCAGGTGAATGGAGTCAGAGCAGACTGAACAAGCCGGCTATTTTTCATATCAAGTTAAGCAGAAAACCTGTTACATCGAATTTCTGCGTGTCCCATAAGGACGGTCATTTCTGCTCTGTTTTCGGTCCAATGTACGCAGTTTAGTGGACTAAAAGGCAGTGGAACATTACAGTATAATACGGGATTTTTAAATTTTATTTATCGAATGAAAATTTTATATACAGGACGTTTTCTCGCCGGGACGCGCGTGGGAACAGACCGGAAACGTTGGCAACTTGCTAACCGGAAGTGGTCCGACAGCGTTATGAACACGCCAAATGCTACTTTTTCCCTGAAAATAAGAATTGTGCGGTTGATTTAAAAGCCCGCACATGAACTTCGTTTGATTTTAGATTAGTTTAAACAATCGCGTGACTGGAGGTTTAAAGCCCCGCGTGAAAATTGTATTGTCATTTCTGTTGACGGTAAAATCTTTACGAAAAGCTGTCGCAGTCCGAAGATGTTCCGGGTGTAACTGCCTGTCACTGTTTACTAGAAACGCGTTAATACGTGAACGTCGGGAAAGCGTTAAGAGGTGTGGGTCATTCTGACAGTTCGAAGAAACTTTACTAAATTTCGGGTTCCTGTGGAGAGCCTTGCTAACTCTCTGAAAGATGTTGTCGGCCTAGGGATCCTGTTTTTGGTGATAGTCCCCTAGAGCACAGCGATAAACAACGTGTTGGCTATAGCAGTGCTTATTGAGACGGGAGGATCTTTAAAAAATGCACCTAGGTTACAAGGTATGAGTTCGAGGGAGGATTGAAATGAGTCCGAGGGAGGACTGGTAAACGATCGTGTGAAGTTGTTATAGTAGTAATATAGGGTCAGATTAGTTATTAGAATAGGCAGTTGAGGGACATTTTAGAAGTTTTGTTTTTAAAGAAAAAAGTATAATGTGGTGTATATGTTTGTAGCCTCGGAGTGCTGATAAAAATATAGTGTGTATATTTGTGCGTTGTCATTGTGGTTATGCCAACACTGACTTCTATAGTCAAAACAAAAGGAAAATCAACATCTCGTTATCTTGGACCAAAGTTATAAGAAATGGGTGACCAGCCGCCAGATGGCTCTTTAGGAGCCTGTATTGAGGCTGGGAAAAACAAGCTTCATAGCTCTCACTCCCTTCAGGAGTCTAAACAACACTTTAAAATATTTGATGAATGGGCAGAAAAGCTTACTGCTGAGGGTGTTTTTGGAGATTTGAGAGGCCCTGCACCAGATATTGTACAGCAGGATTGTTATCCGACTACGTTAAGGAATCATCTGTCACGGGCACGTATAAGATCTGACGGTGCAGGGTGGCTGACAAGGGGCAAAGCCCTTAAAGAGACAATGCGGGCACAAGATCTCTTGAAACTCACCACATTTTATTTCAGTAATTTTTTTCAGACCCAACAGGACAAACTGAAGGAGGCTGTTAAGGTAATTAAAGCACCAAGCTTGGATGAAACTGAAGAAACAGGTGATCCTACCCACATGGGGACTGGTGAGATAAACAAATCTCTCTGCACACAATCTACACCTACAGCACACACTAAATCTTGGGGACAATGACAGGCCCTATAAGGAGGTAAATACTTTGTTACGAGTAGCTGAATCCCACCCTTAGCTTAGACTACAAACATCAAACAGCAAACATGCAGAGGTTAACCCCGGTGAACCTGTCGCTCTCCAAATGCCCGTGCTGTGGATGGGGGAAGGTGATAAAACTCTTGACACTGAGAGAGACAGGGCGAAAATCAAGGAGAAAGACAGAGATGAAGCATGAGATGAGGTGAGGGGTGAAGGACCGGACCGGACATAGTGAGAGGTGATCTGCTTAGTTTGGGTTTAGAGCCCGGCCCGAGCAATACCATTACAAACGGGGTGGAGGAAATATAGGGTGGGACTGCACAGATGAAACTGGTGCAGGAATTACCAAGCCTGATGTCTTTAGTAGCTATGTTACTAAACCACATAGAGAGACAAGATCAGAGACATCATGAAGAAATGTGTTTGTTTAAAACTGTAATCCAGAAACTGGTTAAAGAGCAGCTGGGAGACAGGAGAGAGAAAACTAAGAAAACGAAGAAAAAATGCAGGAAACATGAACTGGACCAGATGACAGTTGTAGGCCCACCACTAGAAACTCAAGTTTTCCAAATGGAGCAGATAACTTACCAATGTGCATCATACAGGGGTGGAGGTCGAAGTGGAAACAGGGAGATCAGGTGCGGAGGACAAATGTCATTGGGACAGTATTACTGTTGGACGTGTGGGAAGGCTGGACATCTGGCCAGAAACTGCAAAAGTATGCAGGGCCCAAATATGTACCAGAATTAGCTACCGAGGAGAGTTTTTAACACGACAGGGGTTTAGAGATTTTAAATAAGATGTTTTTTCACAGATTTGGTGCCAAAAAGAATTAATAAATAAAAGTTGTTCTGTGTATTTATTAATCATTTTTTTGACAGGTTGTCCAGACCCATCCTGGTGCCGGATTAAAACTGTTAAATTTTAGTTATTA